AATATGTTTAACACCAAGAAAGCTTTTGACTTTCTCAATTTAATTGATTTAATTGTTTCTTTTTTAAGTAAATTACACATATTTTTTCAGCATTAAACACACACGAGGACAAAAAGTCAATGAAAATTCCCCATTGATTGGCATGCTAGTAAATATATTTTTTTAATTAAAATATTAATTTAATCCATAAAATTCAACTCTATAAACCATTATCTATTTTATTATATACTTTGGGAAAATTTTAAAAGTTTCAATAATATTTTAAAATTTTAAAAAAATCTAAAAAATACTTTTTCACTTTTAAAAAAATCGAAATATACCCTTCTTTTGAGTTTTCAAAAATTTTATTAATACTTTTCATTTTTTTTAAAAGATTCATAAAATATGGTTAATATAACATTTTAAATAACATTAAAATATTTATAGATAAATTATGAGGTGTTATAGGCGGTTTATGATAGTAATATATATATTTTTTTTTTCTTATAAAGGTAAAACCATTAACGTTACTTTTTAAAACTTTATGAATCTTTTAAAAATATTATATTAATTTTAAAAATATTTTTTAAATGGCTTAAAAAAAATTAGAGGGTTAATAAATAAAAGTATTCTTGAAACAATTTCTAATTTTTTTTTTAAAGTTAAATTATTGAAATTTTAAAAAATTTATGGGTATTTTTTTTAAATAAATGGTCCTTTAAAGAATATTTGTATTAATTTAATCTTTTAAACAATTAAGTGGACAAGAATTTAAGTTTGGATGAAATCTATTAAAGTGAAAATGAAGAAAGACATAAAATATTTATCAATTATTCTTATTAGCCTTGAAGTATAAAAATGAATCCAATAATTTAGGATATATGTAATTTATACTTGGAAATAATTTTAAATGAAGAACTAGCATGAACAAGTGCAAGTACAATTTAAACTCTGGTTCATATCGTCTGCAGAAGATAGAACCAGAAGGGAAAAAGAAATAAAGGGACTCTTTGGCTCAGCTCAAAATCTGAACAAATTAGTATTAATTCTTCCTCTCGGTTCCATGTTATATAAGAACATGGCCTTCCATTTTCTCCCAACAACAACCTACACCTCTTTCTTTTCAATTTCACATCTAAAAATAAAAAATAAAAACACTTAACATGCATATGGAAGTTTAACATAGTTTAGTTGTCTCTAGATCTTCCGGGCGACGGCCGTGGATGGCGGAGGTGCGGTGGCGCCGCCATCATGGAGAAAATCCAGCAAAACAGAGCTTTTGCATTTCGGGCATTTGGGGTCATTCTCCGACAGCATTACGTACATAAGACAGCGAGGGCACCCCACCAGCACCATTGAGGTGGCTTCCGGACTGCTAGAGTATCTGAGTGCGGTACCATCGTCTTGGTTTAGCTCCAACGATACGCAAGAGCTTGGTGGCGATGTGGGTGACACTGTCGCCGATCGGCTTGGTGACGACATCAGTGAATGTGGCCGTGGTGGTGACAGGTTCAGCTTCAATTCAAGCTTTGGAACACTTCCATTGCTTCTTCTGCTCATTGTCTCTCCCTTTTCTACGATTATGAATCAAAATTCATCAAAATTCAAAACAACAAATTAAAAAAAAAAAAAAAAAAAAAAAAA